AGAAAGAAAGAAAGAAAGAAAGAAAGAAAGAAAGAAAGAAAGAAAGACAGACAGAAAGAAAGAAAATGCTAAATGTGTTTTTTGTATGGGACATCTTGTAAATTGGAGATTAATGGGTGCCATTAAGTATTTTGTATTAGTGGTTCAAGTAATGCACAAAAAACTGAATAATTTATGCAAGCATTGTTAAAAAAAATTGACAAAATCTAGGTCTGTGCATGATCTCATCATCAGATCAATGTTACAATGCTAAAACATACAGAGGGAATCTATGTTAATTTAAGTGGAAGTCACATTCAGAGTGGTTTATATTAGAATTATTAGAAAAGACAACCTTTGCTGCATTTTATTATTTGTCTTCTACTAAGAAAAATAGAAGTCAGAAATTTTTAGATATTAAACAGTACAGGCAAAATGCAGACTGTATGTCAACAGTGCAAAACACAAGTGTCATAATATAGCTTGTTAGGGGAAAAAATGCTTCCATTTAATGGTTTATGAAATCCATCATTGTGCTCATTATTTCCCTAAATGTAGCAGAAACATCCCGTCATAGTGCCGCTTATCTCTGTAACAGCATTTATATTGAATTAACTCTCATGAAATAACAGCTTGAGAGCCATATCCTGTACACTTTATTAATGACCAAAAACTATACTGGAAAGCAGGAAATCATCAGAGTTACACTTGAATTAATGCTCTTTGGCATTAAAAATGACAACTGGTTTTATTTGCTCTGTTCTATTGACATAAGTGGACACAACCGAACGTTGGTATGTAGTCATGTCTGACCCCCTTCGTTGATGTCTGGCCCGTCTGTAGACTGCACAAACTTTCCTTCTGAAGTACTGTCCAGAGAAGACATATAGAAGAGGGTTTAGGGTACTGTTGAGAAAGGCCAGGTATGATGAAATCTGGCTTCCTACATCAAGAGTGTGAAACCACAATGTCTCATCCAACACCTGGACATCACAGAGTGTGTCAAGGAAGGTGAAAACCTGGAAGGGACCCCAACACAGTAGAAACAGCAAAGTTACAGCGTAAACCAGAACTGTGGCCTTCGTGTCGCTCCCATCCTGACATCTCAAACCCTCACCTCTTTGAGCCAGAGCTCTGACAATATTCCAGCTGCTGAAAACAATGACCAGAAGAGGAGCCACAAAGCCCAAGATGTTCATTGCAATCTGATTGGCCACCTTCCAAGAGCTGTCATGGGCATAATCAAGAACACAGGAAGAAATGTCATACTCTTCAAAGAACTTCACCTTTCTGTGAACAATGGTCGGGAGCGCCAGCAAGATTCCCAACATCCACAAAATCAAGCAGATTATCTTGGCGTAAAGTGTCCGTCTGAACCACCGAGCCCTCATGGTCTTCACGAGCGCCAAATAGCGGTCAATGCTAATCATGACCAGAGAGTAGATGCTGGTGTAGAAGTTGATGACAATGGTGGCGCTGACCAGTTTGCATAATGCATCTCCATAGGGCCAATGAAACCCGTTGAGAATGTTCATTGCCCAGAAAGGAAGACCACAGAGCAGAATAAGGTCAGCGAGGGCCAGGTTGCTGAGGTAGATCTCTGCCACAGTCAGGCTGTCCTTGTGGGCTATAAAAACTGCCAAGACAAAACTGTTAAAGAAAAGGCCGAACAAGGATATGATGAAGATGTATGGGGGAACAAAGGTATGGACTATCCCCCATTCAGCCGAGAGGGGGGACTCTGTTGAGTTGAGTGGAGATGATGTGCTGTTGTTTTCAGACCAGGTCAATGCCGCTGTCCCCCAGGTTATTTGCTCCATAGACTGCGTAATAGAATAATGATGCATTACTTATCAGGGGAATTGCAATAATGACACTTCTTAAACAGTTATGTTGATATAAATGCCACATTTTTCTTTTCAGAGATGAACACATGAAGACAAATGAAAGACTTGAAGAATCAAACAAAAAAGATCTGTCATTACTGAAGAAAATGTACCAAATGTCCCTGCATTAAAAAAAAACTGAATTATATTCCTAAATTAGGTAAATATGTTTTTCTTTAACCAAAACATGTTATCATTTCATTTCACAAAGAAAGGGTAATTTGAGTGAGTTAAGTTCCATAGTGCAAAAGCTCTTATTGTGCCACATTCAAATCTGACGACCGATCTATTTACACAGTGGTGGTTCTATTTTAAGTAGTTGATATTTTTTTTAAACTTTTCAATTAATTTAAATCACATTAATATAGTTACATTCCATTGTTAAAAGATTTATTTGTCCCTGGAGGCAATTCATGGCACAGAAGGCTGGTGTGTGAGAACTTTTCAAGGTATGATGAACTGAGAGGGTTGAATTTAATGAATAATTGGAAAGTAAAGGGTTTATGAGAGACAACAACAGTCAGTTTGTGCAGGTATTGGTGTGGTTTGCTTCTCCTTTACAGCTTTACAGCTCATAATTTGAAGAGGTGACAGCACTTTTGCTGTGCGTGTATAAGACATGTTTTAAACTAATAGGCTTTATATTATAAAATGTAAATACATGTAACAAAAAATAGTAAAAATAAAAATATTTATGCCTGATTGTTTATCATTAATGTTATGGTCTTATTATAATTTTTTTCAATATGCCGGCATATCTAATCGTAATGATGTTTTTAAGATAACACACTGGTCATTAAAGCCTGAATATTAAATGAATGTTAAAGTTGAAAAGGTTCTAAACTGTATTTTGATTGTAGAAAATGACAGTGTTACAGTAAATAAGAAAAACAATAATCACATTAGGTAGGAGAGACAAACACTCGTACTTTTTCTAATGGCAGAATTGCTTCTAATTCTTCTTCTTCTTGTTTTAAACCAGATTCAAGAAAGCAAATTCTTCTGCACTATTAATAATTTTTGTGTGGCATTTTATTTTCTGACAAAGATCAGGATTTTGAAAAAAAAAAGTTATACATCATAATATTAGATACATTTGTAGTTCAAGGAAAACAGTAAAATGGAACAAGAGAATTGCTTACCGTATCTATTCCACTAATCCTCCTTTGGTCATTAAGTGAGACGCATGCGGAACAGGGCTCAGCTTTGTACACCGAGCTAATGGCAAGAGTTCACAGACAGGATGAGGAGAAATCTCCTGTGAGTGGTTTTGTGTATACTTAAATTCCTCCACACCCTTGGCTGCTGAGCTCAATATATCAACTTGTTTAGGAAAGATATCAACGTTTGTTGAGCACACGTGTAAGAGCTGCGCCTAAACCGCAGAGCACTAAATGTGTTTGGATCTTGAGAAGGTAAGTGTGGGACTGTAGTGCAATCCATCAATAAGAGATCATGAATAACTTTTATTCATCCTGACTGATTATAGGAGGGTGAATTTGACTGAATACAGGAGTAGAAATGATTGCTAGACACTCTGTCTTTTCAACAATACATTTTTAAAAGATTCAAGAAAAGTAAACAGAAACAAATGTTTAGAGCATTTTGACAAAGTGCTGAAGTCAAGAAGGATGAATCACAGCATCAACAGCTAAACAAACCCAAGCTTTATTAATTTAATAAATGTTTATTTTAAATCATGTAAATTCTGTCACAAAGATAAATATCATATTAGCTCACCAGGAAAAGTTTACATAATCTTTGTACTTTCTTGGACCCTTATCTTGTATGCAGCCAGCTCCATTTAATTTTTTTCAAGTTTTTTTTAAGGAATTTCAAGTAAATTGTAACTGAACCATTGGGAACTCAGAATCAGTAAATGTTGTTTTTATTGTGTTGTAATGGCATGCTATATCAAATATTTTGCTCTGACTAAGAATTGTTTAGTCATAACAACGAATAATTGGATACATTCAGGATCCTTTCCTGACTTGTTTTTTTCTAACTTTTAGTCAGGGTCTCGAGATTTTCTACTCTGTCTTACCATTCATGGTCAAAGTAATAAAAGCACACATGAGTCACACAGATAAATAAGGCAGAACAAAGTCATTCTCATTTATGTATATATAAACAATGCTCTTATCTCAACAGACACATGACTGTTTCCTATCGTACAAAATTAACTATATTACACCAAGGTTTCTGTTTGGTACAAATTTATCTTCATATTTCAAGTTATACAGATACTTTAGAAGTAAAAAAAAAAGTCAATATGTTTCCCTGTAAACTCTGTAGTACAGTAAAAATAAACATTGAATTATTTTGTCCACCTCCTTTGGAGAACATGCAAGTGCCAGTCTCAACACATGAGGTCAGTGAAGAAACTAAACCAAGCATCTTATAGAAACAGCTTTTATGAAAAAAGATACTAAGTCGAAGCCTGGCTTCAATATAGCAATATCCGTTTTGTCAAATAAAAGCAGTCTCCATATAGAGAAGTAATTAATTCAAAACACAGCAAAGTTTCACATATCCATTTTAATCAACTTTTTTAAATACTCTAGGGTCATCCATCCATTTTCATAACGGCTTAATCCCCAATGGGGACCTAGTAGTCAATGGGCGAGAGGCGGGGTACACCCTGTATGGTCCGCCAGTACTTTAAAGTCATATGAGACATTTCATTATCGCCATGTATATAATAATGAAACTAGAGTGACCAAAGGAATCTGCTCTTTGGTTCCTTAAGAGATCACTACCAGCCTATTATCTGATGTTTATGTACTACTAATCACAATGAAGAACTAATTTACGAAACAGAGTTATTTTCAGGGGAGATTTCTGAGCATTAAACACGATGACTTGGTAATGAGTAAATGTATATACTAAAAATGTCAACAAGAAAAAATGGACACCCTGAGTTAAGGAACTCTGACTGCAGGCAGATGTCTGTTTTGATTAGTTCTTTTCAGTATAGAGCACATTTAAACTTTATCTGTGGATCTCAGGCTGTGCTCTGGTTGATGAGGAGCGCAAATATATGCTGCCAATTGGAGCTGAACAATGAAGTATTTTAAACGTGAAAAAAGGTGTAAACAGTGCAGATACCATCTGGTATTCAATAAGGGCTTGCTGTAGAAGGAATTGCAAGGGAATGGACATTCCCTAAAACTACTCCCTTATATGGCAAAGGGAATTACGACTGGGTGTTTTGTTTAATCTAGTTATTGACGTTAAAGTGTTGAATGAGAACATGGTCAGCAAAGATACACAATTACACAACTGTGGACTGCATGGTCTACACTCTACTTAGAATTTCAGAGCAACTCAGCATTCTGTTCTCTGCAGATATGCTCAGATGACCCAGCAGGTAGTGTATATTGAGAAAAACACAAGGCTGAGCGAACAATGCCAGGGTACTAGTTGAGCACTTTGTGGAATGTATGGGACTCATCTCTTTGTTAATAGATTTCATTAATACTGGTTAATAGAATCTTCATAAGAACATTTTCTGCTATCCACAAAAAGTCAAAACTTAACGATTTTTATAGTGGTTCAAGTACAACCCTACAGTGGAGGAAGTGAAAACAACTATTTGATGCAGGATTCACATTTTATGTTAATTTGAGGTGTTTTGGTCTTCCAGTGATCGCATCCGGTCTGGCTTTTAGCTTCTCTGAGAACTCCTGCTTCATGCACCACGGTAAGATATTGAAAACTTATAAATAATTCACACAACTCCACTTACAAAAATAAAAAAATATATAAACTCAGCGAAGGGTCCCTTTATCAGTGCAATTAAAAGTGAAATGTTTCTGTGGCTAAATTTGTGTCTAATTCTGAGTTCTAAATGTGAGGGGTTAACAGACAAGTTGGGGGAAGGAGGATGGTGATGTGTCAGTCAAGAACACAGCAAACATGTTCTTCCCTCGGCCTCAATTTCCCAACTCTTGACACAGTACCAAAAAAACTCAAGCCTCTAAGTTGCTGCCATGAAAACAGGAACTACTGGTAGACATTTACTGGCAGACATTGCCACATTGCCAACTTCTAGAATGTGTTATTGGCAGGAATGCATCATCATCCAGTGTTACCTTGTACCACTTTCAAGAAGCTCACATAGTATGCAAATGATGCATTGCCTAATCTTCTGCCTTCTGTTGATGTTTTAGGATTGTGGATATTTATGGCTCAATGATTGAGAATGGTAAATAAAAACACACACAAAAAAGCTAAAAACTGTGTATTTTTAGAAGACATTTCACAGTCTGAGGTTTTTTAGTCTGCCTGCCTGTTTTTTGTTCCACTCTTTTTTTTTAACCTTGGCACATTTGGTAAGGCTCAATTTCCTGTTTGCTCTGACTAGACTCGTTTCTGAGGTTGTCTCAGGGTGTATCCCTACCCGGAGCCCACAATGAGTCAACAGTGGGCCATTAGACTTTTGTGTGGAGAGAAACCCATTATGAGACATCTGATGTCTCGGCAGACCACAAAAAACATGGTGTTTATGTTTCACCAGTGGAAAATCATGTTTGAACACTCAGCAAGCAGTTGTATGTATCAGTTTGTATGCAGAGTTTAACATATTGGAAAACATATTCAGACAC